TGGGGGCCTCTTGGGGACCCCTGGCGCGGTGTGCCGCCGAGACGAGCTGGACCACGCCCAGGGCCCCCTTCCCTGCCTTGCCTGCCCTGCGCCTTGCCTGCCTTGCAGCTCCCGATCGCCCTGTCCGACCTCTGGCTGCTCGGGTCGGCGGCGGGAGAGGGGGGAAGTGAGAAGTGGCGGGCCTTCGCAAAAGGCTTTGAAGCCCCCCAGGGCCTTCTGAGAAGTGTTCTGAGCCTTCCCCGAAGACGCAGAGAACTTCTCCGAAGGCGCGAGGGGGCTTCTGAGAAGCCCCGCCGCCTTCTGAGAGGGCCTTCTCCTTCTCACTCCCCCCCCTCTTCACCCCGGATCGAGCTTCGGGGGTCCGGGGGCCCGCAAGCGGCCCCTAGGGGCCGAAGACTGTGAAACACAGCCCCGAACCTCGAACCTCGAAGTTCGAGGTTCGAGGTTGTGCCGACTTTTCGAAATGTTTAGCAAATCCTGCAAACTGTTTCTTTCTTGTTTTGTTCTATATATATATACACATGTTTGTATATCTAAACACGACTGTCTCAATCAGTTGCGGTAAGCAGAGCTCCGGAGCCATACCTCCCCCCCCCCCACCTTCTTCTGCTCAACGCCGCGGCGCCGAGTCAACAAAAGAAAAAACCCACGACCCCGACCCTCGAGCACTTCGCACCTCGAAGCTCCCCCGCTGGCCAACGGCACGGCCGGGGGAGCCCGGGGCAGCGCCGCCGCTCCGCCCGGCCCCGGCCCCGCCGCGCCTCGGCGCGCCTCGGCCGCCCGCCTCCCGGGGCCCTCCGGCGGCAGCGCCCCGAGCTCTGCTCCGAGCCCTCGGCCCCGCAGGGCTCGTTTCGATTCCTCCGATTCGACTCGATCCGATTTCGGTGGCTTCCGCTTCCGGTTCCGATTCGATCTGGGGTTCCGATCTGAGTTCCGATTTCTTATTGGAGGCATACCAGCCTGCCGATTCCTGCCGATCCGACCTTTCCCGACTCAGACGGCCGATTTCCGACGATCCGATTCATGTCGATCGCCGATCCGACTTGTCGATCCGATCCGGGGCTCTCCTGGCCCCGCGGCGCGGAGCGCCGCGCTGGTGCCCTCGCTGGGCACAGCGCGTCGTCGGGGCCGCCGCCGCCACGAGCCGAGCAGGAGCTCCCGGCCGCAGCTTCCGAGACCTCCCAGAGTCGGGGGGGGCCAAAGAGGGGGGTGATGACTAGGGGGGGTGGATCTCATGGCGTGGGCCATGATGGTTCCCAAGATTTCATGGCGCCTCTTCTTATTTCATTGCGTCCCTGGCCCCCCCTTGGGCCGCGCACGTGCCGCCAGCCATGGTTTGCACCCCCGCCCTCTTGGACGCCCCCCTTCTTGGCCGCCCCCGATGGAGTGCATGGCGAGGAGGGCCGAGGATAGAAGGGGTGCTCCTCGATGTTCGGCCGCCGGGGGCCCCTGCGGGGGCCGTCAGACATCGCTCTGGGATGCGATGCCGGCCAGGGCGGGTCCCGGGAGGGGTCCAGGGTTACGTCGGGCACGTCCCTCTACCGGACGATGCTTGGACTATTCTCAACGATTTGGGAGGTATATTTTGACTATTCTTTATTTCTCGCCCAAAATCCCCCTGCAGGAGGACCTGCCCGACCTACTAAGTCCAGGGGGCCCGTTCCGGGAGGCTTTCGGGTCGGAGGTGGGGCGGTGGAACTGGAGACGGCTCCGTGTTTTCACATCACCCCCTGGCCCAATCGGGCGTGACCAAGGGGGGGGGGAGGCAGGGCTCGTTTCGATTCCTCCGATTCGATTCGATTCGATTTCGATGGTTTCCGCTTCCGATTCCGATTCGATCTGGGATTCCGATTTGAGTTCCGGTTTCTTGTTGGAGGCATACTAGCCTGCCGATTCCTGCCGATCCGACTTTTCCCGACTCAGACGGCCGATTTCCGACGATCCGATTCATGTCGATCGCCGATCCGACTTGTCGATCCGATCCGGGGCTCTCCTGGGGAGGGGGCCAGTCCCCTCAACATTCGCGCCGGCGCCGCCTGGGAGTGCCCAGGAAGTTGTCATTTCCAGACGGAGCTGGCGCGAGTCGTGACGTGACCAGGAGTGGAGGGGGGAGGGTGGGCGGGGCAGGTCATGGGCATTATTTTTGAACAGAGACAAAAAGGGGCTCGTGGTGGGCAGCTGGCCGGGGACCCGCAGGGCACCTTTCTGTGTCGCACGCAGTGCTTTGATCTGTCCACGGCAGTCTTCCCGCAGCATCCGATACCCTGCTCGCAGTCCAGGAGAATTCTTTGGGCCCCAGGGGTTCCCGGACGGATGTGAAGCAGGTTGCCGTGAGAAACTCCAGCGCGTGCTCGATTCCTGTCTGTCAGAGCCGTTCCTATGTCGTGGGGTCCGCTCGCTCTGCTGAGTCTTCCTTTCCGCTCCTCGTCCATTTGCTAGCTACCCCTCTCCTTCAGCATCGCATGTTTTTTTGGGTGTCCTTGAGGCCATCTTGGAGCTGCTTTGAAATTTCCCGAGGCTGCACGGAGGCCATCGTTTCCTACCTTAGGCCATCTTGGATGCTTCGGGAACCATCTGGAGTCATTTCGAAGACGTGGCGCGGGGAGCAATTCTGGAGAGCCGCAAAACGTCGAGGAAGGGCTTTGGAAGAGCTCAGGCCCCCCAAGCGGAATTTTGGACTTCTGAGGAGGGGGGCTGCTGATCTTCTTACGTGCCTCCTCACACTCGTCCATCGTGGGTCAGTTGGTTATATTCGCTGATGTACAAAGGAGGAAAAGGGGCATGGCTTCTGCGAATTTTGGGGTGGGTGGGGGGGGATGCTGCTAGACAGAAGTATCCCGAGGTGCTCAACTCACGGGACTATCTCCTCCCGCACAGGCGCAACAGGTGTTGGATGCGGTCGCCTTAGAGGGGCCTGCGACGGTGAAACAGGATGGTGGTGGTGGTGATGATGATGATGATGATGATGATGATGATGATGATGATGATGATGATGATGATGATGGTGTCGGTGGTGATGGTGATGGTGATGGTGATGGTGATGATACTGCTAATGATGATGCGTATCAAAGAGAATACTGCTGCTGCTGCTGCTTCGCAATCGTGCGGAACCTTGTTGGTACTACTGTGACGTTAGACATCCCTGGTGTTGCTAGCTATGGTCCGACGCCCCTCACCAAACAACGCATTGATCACGGGTGGGAAGACGGAGCCTGACAAGTATGTATTCATGTTTGAAAGCATCTGGGAGCAGTGTGCGCACGAGTGGTCCTTTCTAGCGTACGGGCTTCGATTCATTGAGAGCGGTGTGAGAATACCGGAGGCGAGTTGAGTAGACAGCAGTTTTCTTTTAGCCAGCAGTTTGGTTGAAGTGCTCACCGATGCAATCGGGAATGAGCACGGTTGGAGGTGGACAGCGCAATCCCTCGAGGTACTGCCCATCACGATGGACGCAGGTGCAGACCGCCGCACCGTTCAGGCGCGCAGCATAGTGCATTGGATTTTGCAGCGAAGGCTCTCTTGGAAACCTTTTGGGTGGCGAGCTGAGTGCCGAGCCGTGCGATGCTCATCGGGTACCTACTGCGCAAGGGTCAAATCGGGCACGCCCCTCTATAGGAGGAATATTCAAAAATAGTAGGAAAATAGTATGTGGACTATTTATGGTCATTTTTGGGATATTTTTCACTTGTTTTAAATTTGCGTCCATAATCGGCTTGTAGGTGAGCGTGGCTTCTACGCGCGCCCGAAGCACTTTCAAGGCAAAGCGCCAGCGTCGCTGAAGCTCCAGGCGCTCGGAAACATACCGAGGTCAGTCTGTGTGTTCGTGCTTTCGATGTCGCACTGGGCGGCGAGTCTCACGAGAGGGGTCGTCGCATGGGCGCGGACGTTGTTACGTATCGCCCTCGGCTTTTGGCGGAATCCGGAGTTACAGGGACGAGCAACATTCTTGATCAAAACTTAAGCCAAATTGCAAACATGGATGAAGCACGTCGAGGACAAGCCTATTCACATTGTCATTTTGGAGAGGTTGCATGCTCCTGTCTGGAGGGAGCGGGCCACAGCTTCCCTTGCCGGCGCAGTGCGCAACGACAGACCTTTGCTCGTGTGGCACGCGCAGCGGGACGCACCCACAGGCAAGAGGAAATGAGAGCACGGATATGCACCGGAGGTCTGGTCCGCAATCCCACTTCGACACTGTTTCCGTGGAGGCTTGGGGCGATGGTTGGCGCGCAAAGCTTGTTGCGTGTGCTGACGCTATGGAGCGGCGACGTAGCCGGAATGGCTTTGTTGAAGCAGTGTGCAAAGCGTGGCGCTTGCCGCACGGGCACACCAATCAGGTTGCTAGACACCCACACCCGCCCGGCCCCAGCGAACAGACTTACACCATGGATGATGTGCGTACTCTTCCGTTGCCTTTGAGACGGACGCGAGATACGATGTGTAAAGAAAACACGTACCTACCTCAGTGGGAATTCGTTGTCGATTCCGCCACGGTTGCCGGCATATTGAATATGAAGATGGCATGTGGTAATCGTGAGTTCATTCTGTCCTTCAATAACATGTTGACCACAGTGGGTACGCTATACGACACCCGCTACGTGTATAGTGGACGGTACAAGATTACGCACGGCTCCAGACCACGTGAGTACAATGCAATAGCAGACCGACTGCGTAACATTGCTATGGACACCCATTTAAATTTGCAGTCTACATTCGTGCATGACATACATGGGGCTTTGGCTCGCGGAGCGGCTTTGCAGGCCTATTCAGACGGAGGGCGCCGGAGCGATGGTGCGGCTGCTGCGTACTCTATGTTTCTAGTCGATGTCCGCAATGACATCAGTTGGAACTAGCAGTGGTGAGCGCGTTGTCTGTGAGCACGCCTACGACCGCCTTCGCCATGGAGGTGCTTGTTCCCGACAGAGCGATACAACTTGTCAGTGGTATGGGATAACCTTCTATGGCACGATTTGTTGAGTTACTGTGGGATGATGTAAAAGCTGTTTGCTGCTTCTTGTTTTTTCGTAGTTGATCATATTGTGGGAACCCGATCGGGGGCGCGCCACCAAAGCAACATGAACATGATACTGATAATGCTAAGGATACGGATCATGATAAGGAGGCGGAGGAGGAGGAAGAGGAGGAGGAGGAGGAAGAGGAGGAGGAGGAGGAGGAGGAGGATAAGGAGGAGGAGGAGGAGGAGGAGGAGGAGAGGAGAGGAGGAGGAGGAGGAGGATAAGGAGGAGGAGGATAAGGAGGAGGAGGATAATGAGGAGGAGGAGGAAGAGGAGGAGGAGGAGGAGGAGGGAAGGAGGTGGAGAAGGAGGATGAGGAGGAGGAAGAGGAGGGGGAGGGTGATGCTTTGAAGAGACGATTGACACTGGCAGTGAAAAGTCGGACGAACATGACGACGCCGCCTCTGCCGCCGTGGTCGCTGTTGCCGCCGCAACCGCAGCCGCCGCCGACCGCCGACTGCTGCTGACGGCGGCGCCCCGCTGACGACGCCTAGGTGGGCCTTCCGCGGCCAGCACCACCAGGGCTCCGCCGAGCTCGCGGGCGAAGACGCCCGGGGCCCAGCACGGGCGTGCTCTCGCGCTCTGGGGGCGGCGCTCTCGTGGGGCCTCGGGCACTTGGATGCCCGGGCGCGCTCGGTTTGGAATGCAGCGCGTACCCAGGGGAGGAAGAAGTACCGATTTCGGAAATGTTTCGACATGCGCGCGCAGCCGACGTGCGCGAGTGGCCCGCATTGTATGATTTTAGAGGATCGTGCCCCCCCAGCATGCGCGCAAAGGGCTTCCGAATGTTGAGCAACCTGTGGCTGTCATGCGAGTTCGCAAGAGCGAATGCATGAACCTTTCTTGTGTAAAAAGCCATGCTGCAGACATGCAGCGTAGTTTTGATATGCTTTCGGGAACCTAGTTTTTTTGTTTTTTGTTTTTAATTCGGCATGCGCGCGGCGACGTACGCTTCTTGACTTGTCATCCTGTTTTGCGAGAAGGTCTTAGGAACTGATGAGTTTGATAAACGAGTTTGCGCGCATAGTGTCATTTGACAGTGATGAGAGGGGAGCGATAAAGAGGGTCTAGCTGGGATGGTGTGAATTAACAATGGGGCATACTCATATGTTAATCATATGATCCCAGGGGGTACCGATAAAGCTGGGTGAGGTTGGATAGGGGGTAGTTCCCAATTTTTTAAAGGACAGGAGGACCCATGTGGTGCAAGATATGTGGTACAATCTACTTGGTGCGGTATATGTGGTGCCTTCAATTTGGTGCAATCTATGTGGCGTAAGTTATGTGACGCATGCGAAGCCATGCGAATCACTGCAGCGCATTGCAAACCAACGCAAATAAAGCAATCCAGATCAATGTGAGGCAATGCAGAGCAGCACAAAGCAATGCAACGTAACGGACAACAGTGCAAGCCAATGCAGAGCACGGCGAAGCAGTGCCAACCAATGCCAAGCAACGCAACGCAACGCAACGCAATGCAAAGCAATGCGGAACAGTGGAGGAGGAGAAGGAGGAGGAGGAGGAGGAGGAAGGGAGGAGAAGGAGGAGGAGGAGGAAGAAGGGAGGAGAAGGAGGAGGAGGAGGAGGAGGAGGGGGATGAGGACGAGGAGGAGGAACACAATTCAAAGCAATGCAAATCAGCGCGAAGCAGTGCAAAGCGGGGGCGGACACGGCGGGCGGCGACGGGGCGGCCACATGGCGGCCACGTGGCGGCCACGTGGCGGCCCGCACGCCCGGGCGACGGGCGGCGACGGCGGGGACGGGGCGGCGGCGGCGGCCACGCGGCGGCCAGGCTGGCCCGCATGCCCGGCTCTGTACAGGACAAGCGAAACAGTGCAAGCACTGTGCGGGGAACGCGGGGGCGGCCAAGAGGGGGGTGATGACTAGGGGGGGGGGTTGGATATCACGGCGTGGGCCATGATGTTTCCCCAGATTTCATGGGGCCTCTTCCTACTTCATTACGTCCCCTGCCTTTCCTGGGCCGCGCACATGCCGCCGGCCATGATTTGCACCCACCCCTCTTGGACACCCCCCTCTTGGCCGCCCCCGAGGGCGCATGTACATCGGAGGTTGGGAGGTGAGATCGCAGTGGAACGGAGACACCCAACCGGGAAATCGTTTCGTTTCGTTCGTGTCGTGCGTGCGGGCGAGGCAAAGCTGCGTGGGCGCGCGAGAGGAATGACACCTGCTCCTGGAACCCCTTGCTGGTACTGGGCAACGGCCCAAATGGTAATGGGTCAGGAGGGCGGCCGAACGGCCTCGCGAGAGCTCCAATAGGCCCCAGACACCCACCAGACGCACGAAGACGACCCAGAGAAGACTTCCAAGAGGCCTTCGAAACGTAAACAAAATTACCCCAGTGCGACCCTACCTAGAAGTTGGAACCCCTAGGAAAGCAGCATTAGTTGCTATGCTATGCTATGCTATGCTGCGCTATGCTATGATATGATATGCTGCGCTATGCTATGCTAAGCTATGCTAAGCTATGCTATATCATGCTGCACTGTGCTATGCTAAACTATGATATGCTATGCTATGTTAAGTTAAGCTGCGCTATGCTATGCTATGCTATGCTATGCTATGCTATGCTATGCTATGCTATGCTGCGCTGCGCTATGTTACGGTATGCTATACTATGATATGCTATGCTATGCTGCGCTATGCTATGCTACGCTATGCTATGCTATACTGTGCTCTGCTATGCTAAAACTCAGCGAAGCTAAGATGAGGGTAAGCTAAGCTAAGATACACCTGAGCTAAGATGAAGCTAAGCTAAGCTAAGATGAAACAAGCTAAGCTAAGATGAGATAAGCAACGCTAAGCTAAGGGGACGTAACTGGGGGAACCGCGGGGCGGATATTGGGGGAACCGCCCGGGGCGCTTTCCACTGCCCGGCCCCTTTAAGCCCAGAGAGTAGGAACCCTTCTAGGCAGAGCCTAGGTAGGGAACATTGACTTCCCATGTGTTATTGTATGATTTTAGAATGCTCTGTTCTGATTTTAGAATGCTCTGTTCTTCGGTCCTCTCGGCGTCCGAGACCACCCAGGAGGCTCGAAAATCGTTCCAAAGGGCTTCCAGGCAGTCCAAGAGAGCCCCGAGACGGCCCAACATGGCTCCAAGATGGCTCGAAGAGAGCCCCGTGATAGCCCAAGATGGCCCCAAGACCCCCCCCGAAGCATTCCAAATCGTAACCCTGTCGTACAGGGAGACCGCGGTTGGAAGCAAGGTGGCCCGAGGAAGCCCCCAGAGGCCTCGAGAATGAACCCAAGAGGCCTCCATATGGCCCCAAGACGCCTTTAAAATCTTTCGTGAGGGCCCTAAGAGGCTCTCAAGGAGGAGCTTCCGCAGAAAGAGCTGATGAGGATGGGGACGAATTCGCAGGATAAGGCCAGAACTGGGACGAGGAAGAAGAAACATGGTGCCGGAAAAGGCAACAAGAAGTTATCGCTACATTTCGTTTTACCTTCCTGCCCTTTCGCTTGTATGCTAACTTTCAAGGACCAAGATGCATGGCGCGAAGCGCCAATGTACTATACGCATCGGTCTATATGTATGCATGTATTTGGAGATGAAGCATGTCCATGCAATTATATGTTTATGTATAAGTGCATGCGTGAACATCTATATACTTATATGTATATATATGTCGGTGCACTTGTATATATGTAAGTATTCATATATATCTTCGCATCTGTATACGTTTACTTATAAGTATGAGTGTATGCATATACAATTGGTTGGGTATAATTTTTTGGTATACATCGATGAGTATGTGAACCTGTACGTGTGCACGTACATGCAATTTGATATGTCTATTTGCATGACTATGTGTATGTACATGTGTATGCATATGTATATGTATACGTATATGTATACGTACATGTAAATGCCTACGTATAGGTTATTTGTGTGTCTCTGTGATCGTATGTATATACATACATGATCATTTACATGTATATGTCTGTGCACATGTATGTGTGTACGACGTTCCTCATATATTTGTATTTGTTTGTGCATGTATATACATACACATATCTACACATTTCCAAGCACATGTATAGGTATATGCATACGTATAGCTAGACGTGTGTGTATATGTACATGCATATGTAGATGCAGATGTATATTTACATGTATATGCATATGCATATGAATATTCCCTGCATCTCTACATGTTTAGGTCAACGCATATGTATATGTAGCTGTATATGTACACATGTATGCGTACTTGTATGTGCATGTGTATATGTGCAACGATGTATGCACATACGTACATGCGTCCATCTATGTATGCATACATGAATGTATGCATGCATGCGTACAGGTATATAGTATCTATGCGCGCGTACATACTATGTATACATTAATGATTTGGCTAAACGTAGTTGCACCAACACACGGGTACACTCATACACACATGCATGCAACCATTCATTTACACATACATGCATACACACATACATACATGCATCCATACATCATATATATATATATGTGTATATATATATGTATATACATATATATATATGTATGTGTACACGTATATATGTATGTATGTATGTATGTATGCATGTATGTATGCATGTATGTATGTATGCATGTATGTATGTACGTATGTATGCATGCATGCATGCACGCATGCATGTACATATGAAAACATATCTGTATGTATGTATGTATGCATGCATGCATGTATGCATGCATGCATGTATGTATGTATGTATGTATGCATGTGTGTGCATACATACTATATATATATAAATGAGACACACCGCGTCCTCGGCCCGGGGGGGCTGGGCCGAGACCCTCACTGGGGGAGCGCGCGCCCCTCCGAAGCCCAAACAGGAGCCCGAAACGTCCCAAGAGTGTTTCAAAACGATTCAAATGGCCCTCAAGGTGGCCGATCATGGACAGAAGACGTCCCAATAATATCTATCTATCTATATATCTATCTATCTATCAATCTATCTATCTATCTATCTATCTATATCTATCTATCTATCTATCTATCTATCTATCTATCTATCTATCTATCTATCTATCTATCTATCTATCTATCTACCTACCTACCTACCTACCTACCTATCTATCTATCTATCTATCTATCTATCTATCTATCTCTCTCTCTATATATATATATATTTAGATATATCCACCCACCTCGTGTCGGCCCAGGGGGGCTGGGCTGGGACCCTGAATGTGGGGGCGCGCGCCCCCCAGGCGTCTAAACAGGGGCCCCAAACGTCGTCAGAGTGCCGCAAGACGGCTCCGATGGCCCCCAAGGTGGCCCAATATGGACCGAAGACGGCCAAAGATGCCCAGAAGATGGCCCGAGTGGACCTCAAGACGGCCCAAAGAGGTTCCGAGACTGCCTGGAAGTTTCTAAACCAGTCCAAAGCGATCCGAGAGAGTTCCCAAGAGGCTCCGATGTTCACTTGCGTTCCGATGTTTTCATACCGTGCATCTAGGGACTCTCAAGACCGCCCCAATACGGTCCAACAGGGCCCCATGGGAGCCCACAGCTGGCCCCAAGCCTGCCCAAGACGGCT